ATATATATATATATATATATATATATATGGCATTTTACAGATTAGTAGATACCTTCCTGAACAGACTTCACGATCAGTAGATGTATTTATTAGCAATTTAACTTTTGAAATCATGCTAAAATCACGTCTGCTATCATAAAATCCTGTGGTTGGTTCGTTTGCTTTCACACCACAAACAAAACGCACCAGAGTCCGCTTGGAAGCGTCCTGAGACTCAACATTTCAGGCTGTCTAGGGTCAATTGTTTGGTTCGCACCAGGGCTCGATTGACAGCTTTCATATCAGCCCAAATGAATCGTACTTACGGGGAAAACAGGCCTGTGTTTGTTTAAACCGAACCAAATGGTTTAGGTGTGAAAGCACCCTTCGCTACTGCAGAATGTGCCTACCGGTTTCTCCACCCTCACTTTTAGATGGCCGGCTGCTGGGTCTCTGGGTGCGGGGCGGAGGTTTGCTCCTTAGGGGCTGCTTGGATATGAGTTTGATGGGGATTCGTCTGCGGACATCTGGGCCACCCAAACTCCCAGATCCATCACTTCCTTGAAGATCATTGTCTGCTGGGGAAAAAGGTAGTACACAAAACACTGCTTTAGAGTCTTGTAGTGTAATTATTACAAAACTATACAACATGTACTCAAAGGAAATGACAACAATTAGTCAGTTAGGATGTACAACAAGCACCGAGACCCGGCGTGTGGCAGAGGCACATTACAAAGCTCAAACTTAATTTACAAAATGACAAGTTCTTATTTTGCTGGAGAAGAATCATCACCGTGATTGGGATATAGCAACAATGACACTCTCAAAGTTAGAAACATCTGATGTCTAGTAACTTTGGGTAGCATTAACGCGAAGTACTTTCACCGGTGAATGCTAAGTACTTTCACTAAATATCAGCAAACGTTCTTAAGACATGTAATTAGTTGTGTCATCTCTTAGCTAACGTTAGATTAGTTAGCATTATGCTAACGTTGAGCAAGTCAATCGAAGCTAGCGGTTACGCCTACTAACATGTAGAAATGAAACGTTTGCCATTTATTATACGGTAGTAACTGTCTAAACGTGTTGTGAAAAGTGCATGTGACCTTACAGGTTCATTTATAATTTAACGTTAACTTATTGTGAGCACAAGTGTTCTAGCGTTACTCCATCGCTAGCTAGCTTCTAGCTAACGTTAGCCTGAACCACGCTAGCTTTAACGCTACTCTGGAACAACATGTTACGTCGTAGCATAACAGTGTAGGGAGAGGATGATGTGTCGTTATTTGAAGAGATGATACAACAACAAATATAACTGCGAAGTAAAAGTATATCACATTAAAGAAGTTTGCTAATGTCCATCCTGCTCGGTATTTGGCTTACCGCTTTGGTCCATGATCCAACGAGTGAACACAATGCATTGTGGGATAGAGAAAGCGAGGAGAATTGTTGAGGTGAAGGGAGAGGAGAGAAGGAAAATAAGAAGGGAGGTGAAGAAGGTGAGAGAAGGAAAATAAGAAGGTGAGAGATGAAGACAATGTCATTAAAGAGAAAAAGCAATAGAAAGTAAACATTTCCTATCAGGAGTAGGAGGTAACCTCTGAAACCACAAACTCAAGGATATTGTTTATCATTCATTGCTGATATAATATTAGGGCTTAATCAGTTATTAATACATTCTGCTGGGGATGAATGTTTTTTTTAAAGAATAAGGCTATATCACGTAGATTTAACATTTCAAACAATCTTATAAATGAGAGGAGTTCTCGCTTTCATGTCATATGGAAGCAAAGCAAGGCAATATGGATTTAAATCATATTTGGAACTGAACACTTAATTGTGAAATTGAATCACTATTCATTTTGGAAACCATGTATCTGAATTTAGGTGGTTTGAATTTCCCTCTTTCAAATTTCCAAAAGGTAATTTCAAGTTATGCATTTTCAAAAAGTTCATATCAAGTATTATTTGTTTAGAGTACACAAATTCAAATATGCAGGTTGCTCAAAAAATATCTAATTGTATTGGTGACCCTCATAATGTCATACAGACATAAAAAACTAATATTAAAATGTCAAACTATAAAATCCAGGCTACTGGATAAACAATCAAGCCTGAATGGAATTGATCAGACCTTGTGACTGGAAAAGCACCTGAACTTGTTTCTGTTTGTTTTTTTAAATGGCACTACTTGGAAATCTTCAGCTGACAATTTCGAGGAGGACATCATATATTCAGATGGGTTTTCAAGGTAAAATATTTCAATGCTATTCATTTAGTGCTATTTAAATTTAATCATTGGGGTTGAATTTCACAATTGGGTATTCAGTTACTTATACACTAATAATTACAGACCCCATACTAATAACTTGTAGAAATTTGTCATTATTTATAATTTATAGATTAAAGAAATATGTATTTATTTATTTAATCAGTGACGACATGATTGGTGACTGCTGCCAAAACACCTTGCCTTTCAATCCACTTCACCTAACTTAAAAAGTATATATTTTACTTTGCAAATATGCCTGCCCTGATTATCTTACTCTCCCAAATGTAGTCCACAATGTGTAATATATAAAGTATATCTTAATACTTTAGAGGTACGTTTAGAGGTCAGACTAAGCAACAAAACACTCTTGTCAAAGTACCTCCTCATAATGAGCACTACATTTATTATATCTAACTTAATGGCACTCAACAAAGAAAAAAGCTAGAGTGGAACTTAAACTTCACACATTTACATAAAACAAACGCATAAATGTATTGGCTATGATACAATGCAACCCACTGTGCAATTCATTTCATACAGTATTTTCATTATTTCAATAATTGTGACCCAAATTTCTGTACATTGGAACCTACATAACACATCTTAGAATTGTGTTAAAACTATATAACATTGTATAGTAAGAATACCATAACATGTGAGGTCACTTAGTCTTGGTATGGCACATAGATAGGTCCCTAAGGAAACACTGTTTTAGCTGAATCCGACATGTAAAACAACAGTGTCGCACTGTCGCATCACTCAGTACTCCAACATGCCTTGCTGTATTCAGTGTCTGAAGTCAATGCTCGTGCACCGTGGAGCTCTACTGCGCGTTCTCGTAACCATGTCGCCATTTTGATTCGAAAAATATGACTGAGTTTTTCCTGCTTTGCATGCTAAACTTAGCCCCGCGTTTGAATTACTTTGTGCGTGAGTACGGATCATACACTATCTGAAATAACTGCTATTGTTATTAACGTCAAGTAGCCATTCATGTTTGGGAACTGTTTATTTGATAGACTTCAAAGCCACATTAGACTAACGTTAGCTAAGTTGAGCTAGCTAACAGTAGCCTGTCGCAGACTGACCCCTTCTTCAAAACAAATCACTATTCACAGGCTAATATATGTAAGCTAACACAGCTAGCTCATAGTTAGCTGGATAGCTAGTGACTTAGAAGCTGGCTGCTGGACGAACAAATCCAGTAACAATCTCATTCAAACGGAAGGAATAGCAATTAAATCAAAGGTAAGTTTTGGACAGATCGGCATGAGTTTGAGCAACGAGCTAACGTGAACTCTGCTACTGCATCGACAAAGTTGAGCCTAAGTTGAAGAGCTATTTAAGTTGGCTAACTGAGCTCAGTAACGTTACACGGTAACTGCAAGTAGCTCATTAACATTAGCTTACGTGCTAATCATGGGGAAGGAGGAACTAACGTAAAATTAGCTAAATTGGTTGCTTGCTTAACGTTATGTCTTAAACTCGCCAGTTAAGAGTAAGCATGGTTTAAAAACTAATGTTGGCTAATCGGCTAACGTCGCCGTAGGAATCGGTTTCGCTGTCCGATTACTTAACGCTAGTTAACGTAACATAGTCGATAAGTAATGTGTAACAGTTGTAGCTGAGCGACATCGACATTAACGTAACTAATTTTCTCATCGATATGTTCTTTATAATACTGCTGATCTTTAAATGTCGTTGCTGTTTGGTAACTACCGAGCTAGAAGTTGTTTAAGTTGTTCTTCAGTGCAGCCATTGGTAGCTAGCTCAGGCCAACAGCGACGATCTGCTGGTTTCTAGGTTCATGTGTAAGTTACTTACGGGTGGATAAAGAAGAAAGGGACCACTGCTTAAACGACAGCGGTGACGTCTGTAATTAACCGTAAAGTAAATCTACCTTGTGTGTGTTTTTTTAATCTTGTATTATTTGGTAGTGATGTCTCCACTGGAGTTGAAGTAAACAGAAATCTGAGCTCCTACCGCGAGTCAGTTGATGTGCACTTCATGCCAAAACTACAGTGGCTCAGTTAAGCGTTAACAACACACCAGTGTTTCTCTCATTGTTTGACTCTTAATAAAAGGGGGACCCCTTCCTTACCTACCAACATATTATAAAATAGTGATGCAGATACATCATTTATCATTAGCTATCACATGTTAGACAATAGAGTCAAGTTATCAAAGCAATGGCTTAAGTAGTTTGACAGCCAACAAACCCAAAGGTAATCAATAACGTGAATGGAAGAACCCCGGGATCTCTTTACATTTGTGAAGCATTATTAAAACTACAAGTAAAGTCACTGGCTTTTTATACTCATCAAGAACTGTCAGTATGTTGGGATGAGATACAGGTCTGTCCACATCATTTTACAACTTCAGTGCAGCAACAGGGTCAAACTATTCTCAAAAGTGCACCACTGCAGATTGTTTGATTGTTTGATCGTTTGGTAGTGTGTGTCAATAAGTATCTAGTACAACATGATAGACATTGAGTTGCCACCAGTTGCATCTTTTAAATTTACATTTAGCAAGTAAAGGAGAGTTCATGTAAAAGTGTAGGGGGAATTTCTTTTTGTTAGATTTCACTACTTTTTAACTTGCCTAATTACAGAGTATTGTTGGCTCACGACATCCACATGTATGCCCTCAGTGTGTGCCATTGTTCCTCTTTTCAACATCTGTAACTGTGCCAGTAGACTGTTTTTGTTGAGGTTGCCTCTGGTGGGTTCTATTTTGGATGTAAAGTCAAGCATTTGCTTTCCTGCTCAGTGTCCACAGGGAGCGTTCGGCGGGTTATTATTGCACTTGTGTACTCTGTAAATGTATGCCAGATGGACGCTGCTGCATGTGCATGAAAGGGTCCTCCTCAAGAAAAAAAAGGGAAACGACAAAGGAGGAAGCGCTTTGATTTCCCCCTTCAGTTTTACTTCCATGATCAACAGTTGATCGCATGTTGCTCTGAGAGAATGTACATCTGCTGGCTTCGACAAAGCCAGCAGATGTACATTTTAGTTTTTCGCTGCTGGTGTGTTGGGTTGTCTAGATTAACTGCCACGGTAACCACACAAGGAAAAACAAACTAAACATGCTTGCGTTGTCACAAAAGCATCAACTAGCTATTCTCCATCATTTAAGATAAATTCTCCATTTACGTTTATGTGATAGTCGGCATCTAAAAGCCTCTGCTGATGGGATGCGTAGTAGATGTTGACCAAATCTTGTCGAGCAGTTGTCTGAGTACAGAAGGATGAGCATGCACACAACAGCTGTGTGTTGTATACTAGTGTAGTTCTAAACAGCAGCATGGTAACTGGCCATCATCTTTAGTTAACAATAATGTAACATAGCCCAATATGTACTGTAATTCAACTTTATGATAACATCTGTGTACTCCTGGCAGTGATATGTGATACGGGCCTATAGGCTGTAGCTTAATTCATTTTCCTATAATAGAAGAAGTTCACAAAATAAGCAGCGTGAAACCTTTCCTTTTGTCTTGTAGGGAAGCTTCACTATTCCAGCCTTCTTACTTGCTAGTGAATATTCCCGTCGTGTTGAGTTAATACTTAATTGATTCAGGCATAATTCCATGTGAAGCTTTGAGCTATTTGGGTGGTTATTAGAAACTAAAAGACACCTCATTTGAAAATGCATGGGTCTTTAATGTTATGCTTTGCTAGAATACAGTTTGTAGAACTTTGATGTTCCCAAATGTTAAATTATTTTAAAGTTTAATACTTTTCTTTTTTCTTCCTTTTATTGAAACTGATACCACACTGATTGAAATGAAGGAAATATATAAATCCATGCATTTCTATATTTCACCATTACTTATTATGATATGAAGAATTCTGTGTGTGCATATTGTTCTGTACTCTATCCCGGTATATCTGCTATCTCTTTTGACTACATTTTGAGGAAAACTTTTTTGCACATTCACAACATAATAGTATAATGATAGACCCACTAAAACATATGTGAAGTTATTGTACAGGTTCATATTGGGGATGTGTGCAAAATAAATGTAGCCCCTGACCCATGCAGATAACATTTAAAATATTTGTTTTGTAAATATTTCTTAAATGATATTGTTGCAAAGAGTAGATATAAAGTAAATAAGTTAATTTGTATATCTTTTTGATGTGACTTTGTTTAATGGAACAAACTCTTCCTCATGTTTACGCTCACATACAGCACTTATGCAGATCTAAAATGATGTCTGAATGGTATTATTAACACAGTGTAATTTCTTCTAAAGTCAGTTGATGTAATGTCTGCTGGGTGTGGTGCAGGTTATGGTGAGCCTCTCAGCGTCTCATCTCCTAAAGAGGCCTGCGTTTTAAGAGGAGACCCATGCTGATAAATGCCAGGCCTCGCCACACTCTCTGTCGTCTGCACAAACACAAATGCCTGCCTGCCCGTGGGGGAGGTCTGATTAAAGATATCCACATTTCATCCACTGGTACGTGTGAGCATTTTACTATATGGCATTTTTGTAAGTGCACAGTCCATGACTACATTTACCGTGACCACAATAATGCAACTGTTGTCCTTATTGTAAACATAGTATTTTGAGTGAACTGGCTACACGAGTTGCCAATAGATGTATTCAATTCCTGCTTTACGTTTAAATTCTATAGAGCACAGCTAGATTAGTGACTGAAGATGTCACCTCCACATTACATCACAGCATCAGTTACCCTCCTGTATTTAATAATAGCATAAATGGGAATAATCCATCTTAATTTGATCATAATTGCTTTTTACAATTATTTTTATTTAATGAATGCAAACATATTCTGTGATATAAAAGGACTTACAGCAAGCGATAGTGCTGTCTTGTTGTTCTAGCTATTATTGGTTTAATCCTTTACCGTATATCTTTGTTTACAAGTTTATCTGCTTCCTTCCCCACCTACGCCTCCACTCTTCCCTTTCCTACCCCTTTCTTTTGTTGTTCTGGCTACTCCTGGGCCCTCTGGTTTCCCCCACCCTCCTCACCTCTGTGTTGTTTTTTTGCCTTTACCTTCCCTCAGGGCTGTGTCCCCCATCCCAGCGGCCACCATGTTTTGGAAGTTCGACCTGCACACCACCTCCCACATCGACCAGCTGCTGGACAGGGAGGACGTGACGCTGAGAGAGCTGATGGAGGAGGACGACGTCCTGCAGGAGTGCAAGGCCCAAAACCGCCGGCTGCTCCTCTTCCTCTCCCAGGACCACTGCATGCAGGAGCTGGTCAGTCTCATCACCACCGAGCCGCCTGCCGACCTGGAGGAGCGGAGCCGTTTCAAGTGAGTCCTCAAGGCCACAAAAGATGATGCCGGGGACTAGTGAGGGGTTCCAGGATAACCATGTGAATGGTGAAATAGACAGCGTGTGGTTATAGTCAGTGCCATCATTATAAACTATTATAATTACAAGGCAGAATTTAAGTTTTTATTTTTATCAGATAACTTGAAATAGTTCTCATGCAAAGAATACACTAGATTTAATCAAATTAATAGAAAACTATGAAAGCCTCTGACATCTTGACACAATGTTTCATCTCTATCAGCCTTCTTTTAGTCCAGAAGTTTCATTAGACTTAAAAATAAAATATTTGTTTTTGAGTTGTAGCTACTTGATGTGTTCAGTACCCCTTTCTACTCGGATTTTGATTTATTTTACTTTGTTACAAAGTTCACTGCTCCGGTCAGTGAACTGCTCCACGGGAACCATTAAGATTAGGTTTAATATAATCAATTCTTTTGAAATTCCACTTTAAAATGAATAATTGCACTGACGACTTCTCCTCATTGTCATTCTGTATTACATTTTTTTGTAAGGTTTCCCAACGTGGCTTGTGAGCTCCTGACATCAGATGTGTCCATCATAAACGATAAGCTGGGCGCTGACGAGTCTCTCCTTGAGGTGCTCTATCACTTCCTGGAGCAGGACCCACCCCTCAACCCGCTACTGGCCAGCTTCTTCAGCAAAACCATCGGCAATCTCATTGCCAGGAAAACCGAACAGGTATATTGGAAATGGTCGTAGCTTGAGCAACGGTGTCTTAATTTGTAATCAAGCAATCAAAAGTACCGTTAATCCATTGTACTGGGTAGTAAAATACTGACGTACAGTAGGAAACAGAAGTGTGGTGTTTTGGAAAAGATGTTAAAAATCCCACGTTCAGATTCAACCAGCTTGGTGCTTTTACGTGGAACCAAAAGTATTGAGCGCTTTGTTTTGTTTTCCAGGTGATTACCTTTCTAAAGAAAAAGGAAGGCTTCATTGGTCTGGTGCTGAAACATATTGACGCCTCTGCCATGATGGACCTGCTGCTTCGCCTCATCAGTTGTGTGGAGCCCGCCCCCTTAAGGCAGGAAGTCCTCCATGTAAGTGCTACTGTACTTCCCATAAGTAAACACCAGCCGTTAAAGGTTCTCCATAGGATATTTCAGAGCATCAATACAGCAGCGAACAACTATTGTCTATAAAAGATATAGTGGAGTAATGTATAGTCACTCTCCCTCCCTCTGTGTGTTGTAATCAGAGCTTCTCTGTGCCCTGTTTACATAGCCGGGACGGCCGCACGTGCATTTTAGTGCATGTGAGTCTGTCACCATGTCGAGAGGCAATAGATATGCACTGAGTTTCGTATTGAGCACATTTTAATGTATCTAACACCGTTTGTTTTTCCCCCCCAAGTGGCTGAACGAGGAGAAATTGGTACAAAGACTCACAGAGCTCATCCATACTGGCAAAGATGAGGAGGTGAGTGTCCCGTCACCATGTTGTCGTGATGCTCTCTTTGTCAGATTGAAACGCTATAACTCTGTACACATGCATTAACATTATTTAAAGGAGTTAATGAGGATTTTCTAATTCATTGATTTACGTTTCAGAGACAATCAAATGCATCCCAAACACTTTGTGACATCATCCGCCTTAGTCGAGACCAGGCCAATCAGATGCAGGAGAATATGGAGGCCGACCCACTATTGGCTGTACTAGAGTCGTAAGTTGACAATGCCTTTTGGTTAGAGTGCGAGGAGGAAAAGTGTCCAGTGGCTTGTGGTGTTTAGAGTGAGTGTATTGAAACACTTGGCATTTATCTGGCTGCAGTACACTAGAAACTGAATAAAAACATGGCACCGGATTGGCTTTGATGACTAAGCTAGTCAAACCCTCTGCTTCCCATCTGCTGTTGGTTAATGGTGTCACATAATTGGCAGGTTCTTTTCATGTGTTTTTTGTCTTTGACTAAGTTTGATGGTAGATATGGAAAGAAGTGAGCTCTTACATGTCGACACAAGCCAGGATTGTAAACATACGGAAACACTCCGATGTCGTCCTTGACTCCCAATGTGCAGCACGGTGTTCTTTAAATGATTGCTCTGTGTACAAGGCTTTGCTGGCACAGCCTGTTTGACAACAGTTTAGAGTCTTGAGAAAGTTTGTGTCCTTTGTAATGCGTCCTCGGTGTACAACACATCACCCATGAGTTTCCACACATTATTATCAACAATAGCAAAGGAATGCTATATAATTTCCGGTCTAAGAGGAGAACACCTCATCAGTGTGTCAACGTGGTCTAGTTTGGGTCTTCTTGCTACTGAGATAAACCCTTTGTCTTTCAGGCAGGAGAGTGTAGCGGGGCTCCTCAAGAACATGTTTGAGGGGGAGAGGAGTGAGGCCTCCATTGTTAACGGAACTCAAGTGCTACTTACCTTACTGGAGACCAGGAGGACTGGGTGAGTCAAAGTGTTTCCTGGCCGGTTTTTCACTGTCAGCTTTGGGATCTTTCATGTCTAATGTGTTTGTCTCCTTGCGTGTCCCAGGTTGGAAGGGCTGATGGATCTATATTCTCAGGGTTATGAAAGGTCTTACACTGTCAGCAGCAGTATTTTAAATGCCATTGAGCCCCATTTAAAGGACTTCCAGCAGCTTCTTCTGGATCCCCCCAAGGTAAAGCCACAGAGCAGTGACGAGTCATGAAGCAAAATACATTCTAAACATAGGCACTGTTATTGGTATTTGATTGATTTGGTACAGTTATAGCATTGACACTCTGGGTTCTTGTGCATCAAAAACAACATTTTGCTTTTCACATTCCCTCTGCAGAAAAGTGCAATATTGACGACCGTTGGCCTTCTCGAGCAGCCACTGGGGAACGCCCGCCTTCACGTGGCCCGGCTGGTGGCTGCCCTGCTGCAGACCAGTGCCCCCAGTATCTGCCTGGAGCTCTGCAATCTTGCCACCATGGACCTACTTCTGGTAGGCTAAAGCCTGGCTGGACTCTGCACATTGAAACTCTGTAGCTCCTCTTTGTCTGAGCCCTCCTACATTTTTTTTTTTTTGTGTGTTTATATCTGGAAAAAGTTGCGTCACATTTGCACAAGGTTAGTCGTGAGGCAGGGGAGCACTGATTACCTAATCACACCACCTGACCAAAGGGCAGTGGGTGGGGCTTATTTGGAGCAGGCTCATATAAGACCATCGAGCTTCGTTTGTATTGCAGCAGATGGGGGATTCAAACCCTCCTCTGTTAACCAGGATGAAGTCATCTCTGGTCCAGATATTACCACGACCTTTTTAAATAACCATGTTAGAAGGGCACAGAGCCATGTGGTGTTAAAAACTGACATTAGTACATATTAACATCTGTATGGGAGGTGTCCAGTCAATTCAGGGCCGCTAACAGTTCTGTCTCTCACAGGCTTTCACAGCATGTCACTGACGTTGCTCTCCATCTCTCTCTCTCTGAATAGGATCTGTTCTTCAAATACTCCTGGAATAACTTTTTGCACTTCCAAGTGGAGCTTTGTGTGGCGGCAATCCTGAGCCATCCTTCCTCAGAGGAGCGGCCCAGCCCAGCCCTCCAGAACCACGACGGTCAGCCTGCAGCATCCAGCCCTGAGGCGCAGGAGGAGGCAATGGAGACGGGCAGGACCAGTGACCCACACGCCTCCATCCACCACGCCCTCGTAGCACATGTAGGTGGCTTTAGCAGCTTGACCTCCTGACTTTACCATCAACACAAAACTTTCTCAATTATTCCCACACTTGCCTTCATTCTGTGTTTCTGTTGAACCTCAGCTCTTCCAGAAGTGTCAACTGGTACAGAGGATCCTTGACGCCTGGGAGGAGAACGATAAGATACAGTGAGGATCTCTTTACATCCAAAGCAGTGTGCTCACATACCCATTTGTTTAAAAACAGAATATAAATTACATTTTATGACACCCCCCCCAAATAACAAAAACCTCAATGAAAGTTTTTCAAAATGACGGTTGACGACCTGGACTCAACGATGAGCCATGAGATTTTGGTGGTCAAAGGTCACCGTGACCTCAACATTGCTTTGGCCATAACTCGAATTCATATGATAGACAATTTCACACACATAGGATTACATTTGGGACAAACATGGATGTAAACTGTAACTTGACAGTTGGTGGTGAGGCGCTAATGCTAGTTGATGAGTGTGATTAATCTGTTTCTGATCTGAACCTTAACACCGTGGCAGTTTGCTGCAACATCAGTGTATTACAGATTAGTCGTGACAAGCATAGTTGTGGTGTTGCAGTGAATTGAATCGTATTTGTGAATCTCAGGGGTGAGGGCGGCACCAGGAGAGGCAACATGGGTCACCTGACCAGAATTGCCAACATGGTGGTCCAGAACCTGGAGAAAGGACCAGTACAGGCCCAGATCACTGACCTCATCAAAGGTGAGCAGATACTGCTGCTGGCCTGATGCTGAACATTAGTTAACAGGAGTGGAGTTAACTGAAAAGTTAGTGAAAATGAATATCCCCGTGTTTGCAGAGCTGCCAGAAGACTGCAGAGGTCGCTGGGAGAGCTTCGTGGACGAGACGCTGAGAGAGACGAACAGGAGGAACACGGTCGAGCTGGTGAGACGTCACTCAGCAGCACTTGGGTCCTTCTGCATACAAAGCTTTCTTTTAACTTCCTCTTGTTTCCTCTTCTCTCCCAGTTTTGGCCCGCTGAGTTCAGAGCAGCCAGTTAATCAGGACAGGACCGAGCAGCCCAGCACAGTGTCAGAGCAGATGTTACAGCTTCTTTTCAAATGTCATTTAATAAATCTAAGAATACAAGCAACAAAAGTCAGGTGTTGTTTTAATTGATGAACATTCACTTTGAAGATTTAAAGTGAGGTCACAGACAATGATCTGTCTTCACAGGAGGAAACTGAACTAGGCAAGTTTATAACTGCAGATGGGCATTTGCATTGCAAGAAAGTGTATTTGCTGCATGGCATTCAAAAAGACCTCTAGGATGCATCTTAAGATGAAGCCTATGTAGTGTGAGTCCCAGTGGGACAGTAGCATGATGCTCTTGGTGTAACTTGAAAAGACAAGGCACACATACTAGCACTTGTTTTCTCTTCGCTATGTTTTTAAAGCATTTGTTATTAATAGGGCAGCATGATGTGCAAATGTGTCCCGTATAAAGTTTACCAAACCCTGTCCTGCAGGTCAGCACCCACAACATGCACTCGTCCAGTGAAGACGACGACATGGAGAGCCCCTTCCCCAACGACCTGTCTCTCCAGCAGGTAGGGTAGACGCCACCGTGGAGACAAAATGACAAGTGATACTTTTCAAATGAAAAAAAAGTATACATCACGATGTCACCTTAAGAAGTTACCCTTTGACGTTCCCAGGCCTTCTCTGACTATCAGATCCAACAGATGACGGCCAACTTTGTGGATCAGTTTGGCTTCAATGACGAGGAGTTCAGCGAGCACGATGAGAATATCAAGTAAGTAGTAGAAGTCTCACATGGCTCGTTGGCCTTCTCAAAGCTCACCCCAAAATCAAAAATACACTTTGGTCCTCTTACTTGCAGTGATGTTTAGCAATCCTGATTGTTTTGGTGTGAGATGGCTCGTGTATATAGTTTGGAGCTAACCGATACTGCTAGCTCACCTAGCACCACTGCTGAGCTGGGAAACATGACATTAATGTCTACATCTCGCTCTGTCATGAGCCTCTCGTCCATCGGTAAATCTACACTTCCTTCTGCGTGGTGATGCGGTTGGTTGGTGTAGTTAGGAGGAAAGAAAATAGTTCCTACATGAATCTGCTCACAACAAGGTCTGTGGATTATGTTGAGTAATCAGGTCATGATTTATGGAAAGAGGCTGTTGAGTCTTTCAAATGTATTCATTTGGAAGCAGAGTGTCCTATAGTTCCATCATATCGGAGAGAAGACGTACAACTCTACGACTTATCTAACACGTGGCAACTCGCACCAAAACTATCTAGATTGCCAAATAGAACTACAGGTAAGAGGAAAGATCTCAGGGTGAACTGTCCCTTGAAGGGCATCGAATCACTCTGCATCCCAACCTGAACAGAATACCTCCGCACCAGAGCTCAGACACCTCTTATTCATTCTCAGGTCAACTATTTGATGCGATGTTTGTTGTATTGCTTTAATACTTCTGTGTAGGTGTGTTATTCTTTGTTGCCTAACCCGTTCAGTTGTTCCACTGCAATCCTCCTAACCTACAGCATGTTGGCTAATATTATCTTCTCTTTCCTCAGCGCCACATTTGACAGGATTGCCGAAATAAACTTCAATCTAGACGCTGATGATAATAGTGTAAGTGTTTTGTTGTTGTCCATCCATCCATCCATTTTCCACCGCTTATCCGGGGTCGGGTCGCGGTGGCAGCAGGCCAAGCAGGCCGACCCAGACCTCCCTCTCACCGGCAACATGTTCCAGCTCATTCTGGGGGATCCCGAGGCGTTCCCAGGCCAGCTGGGAGATGTAATCCCTCCAGCGTGTTCTGGGTCTTCCCCGGGGTCTCTTCCCAGTTGGACGTGCCTGTAAAACCTCCAGTGGGAGGCGTCCAGGAGGCATCCTAATTAGATGCCCGAACCACCTCAGCTGACTCCTTTCGACACGGAGTAGCGGCTCGACTCCAAGCTCCCTCCTGATGACCGAGCTCCTTACCCTATCTCTAAGGCTGAGCCCGGCCACCCTACGGAGGAAACTCATTTCGGCCGCTTGTAGCCGCGACCTTGTCCTTTCGGTCACGACCCAGAGTGCGTGACCATAGGTGAGGGTAGGAACGTAGACCGAGTGGTAAATTGAGAGCTTT